TCCATAAATCATAGTATCACGGAAATGTTTAAAGGACTAGGGAAGGGAACACAAAAGTAATAGGGCCTGATCTTCATCATCAATTTTCGAATCTATATTTTTCAAATCCATAATAATAGAATTAAATTTATCAAGATGGGAGAGTATAGATGTACCTTCAGACATCCGAAGCATATACAAACTCTGCTTCAGATATAGCCGATTCTCGACCGTCTTCTTCATATACAAGGCTTTTAATTTATCCCACATAGTCTTGACTGAACTCTCCGTTGCTACCTCACGCAATACCTCATCGAAGAGATTTAAGATTATGCTAGATCTGGCCTTCTTATCCATATCGGCAAAATCCACATCCTTTACATCTTCTGGTTTTTTCTCAATTCCCTGAATTGCCAAGTCAAATCCGTCTTGAACAAGAATGGCCTCCGTCTTGAACAAGAATGGCCTCCATCTTGAGCTGCCACATCCCGAAGTTGACATTCCTATTGAATTTCTCGACAACCGGCTTTGTTATCATCATTGTTGCCACAAAATCTGTAACTTGACGTTTATCTCAAAAAACTGGCCAAACAAATATGCAATTCTCGTGAGCGGGTCCTACAAGGTGAGTGGATTCCACGGGATTAGCGAGCCCCATGGAATGAACGGGCCCTACGAGATGAGCGGGACCCACAGGTTGAACGGGCCCCACCAGATGAACGGGCCCCACGAAATGAATCTATCTTACAAAATATATCAACCACCTCTGATACCAGTCTGTTAGGACTGGTCTAAGAATAAACAAACTAAAATTAGAACAAAATAGGCGGTATAACCGACCATATAATGGTTAGGCGGTAAAACCGACCATATAAAAGGATTGTAGCAACCCAATAAAGACAAATAATAAAGCAAAATAAAAGACACAGAAATTTACGTGGTTCGGTCAAATTGACCTACGTCCACGGGCGGTGGAGGAGCAATATTTCTATTATGAAGAAGAAATACAAAAACCGTAGGAAAGTGGTGGAGGAGCAATATTTCTATTATGAAGAAAAAATACAAAAACCGTAGGAAAGTGGTTCCTAGGCTGGCACTTACAAAAGGTTTAGGAAATATTTCTAAACTCAAAACAAGAGAGTTTAAAATATTTGACTAGAAATGGACTAGATGACCCAAGAATTTAATAGCCCATATAATGCTCTTTTGAGTAGTACAATTAATTCCTTCATAAACCCCTTCTATTTATAGGCTCTCCAACGAAGCCTTCCTGCTGTCTGTTGCGATGTGGGACGAAAGAATTATACCACAGTCAAACATTGCGGCCGTTGGAAAAATCAACATAAAAGAAATTTTAGTCTTTGACAATGAACACTAAAATGCATTAGCTCAAAATTGCGTCTCAGTTTTAAATACTCATGAAGACTGCTATGTGTGAAACTGGAGGGTCGAAAACAAGAATCTCCGAAACCCAACTTATGCTAGAATTAAAGTTTCCTACGGAATTATGTGGATTCACAAAAACAAAAATACATTATTTTAATATATATTGGTCACGATTGTGTTAGTTTTCTCCGTTGTTTGAGTTTTCGATGACGAATAATCTTCTTCAATAACCTGTTTATTTTGGGTTTTTCCACTTACATTACACGAAAAAGAAAATGAAAGCAGAAATTGTCCCAACTAGTTAATCAGACCTGATTAATGTGTTAGATGCATCTCCCATTATCTTCTTAAGAAATTGCGAATCAGACAAGTTTACAAGGCAAAAACGATTGTCTTTGAATTTGAAGCTTATCTTCACTATAAGGTACTTATACGATTAAAATACTATCCCTACTTGGAAATGCAAGTTTTATTCACATCTGATAACAACCTTATTGTAGTTGAATGCAATTAGAGAGTGATGATACAGATTTGACCTCATAAATAAATATTGTCAAGTTGGCAGCATATGTTCAACTGCGTCACTTTTAAGGCATTAGTGTCTCATGGTTTATTTTACTGGAGAAATGAAGGGACCGGAGCATGTGGCTGACACGCTTCCCTTCAATTCTTTATGCATCTAATTAAAATAGATGCATGTTGGAAAGAAAATTTCCATATGTATCAACATCTCCTTTGAATTTTTCTGCAATACTTCGAGCTTGGACTTGCAGTACTCGGCTTGGTTTTACCAAATTTTAGGTGAATGGAAAAGTTCACACGCACTTCTCTAACCAAATGGACTAATCCTTGTTGACAAACACGATTTAAAGGAGGATGGAGATTAAACTATGTTCATAACAAGTAAACCTTTTGTGTGCATTTCCAAATATTTGGGCAATGAATATCAATTGTTATTAAGGTCTTCAAAATGCACTAGATTATACCATGGTCGAATTTGTAAGCATAATATACTTTGGTTAATTAGCTCACTTTACAACGTGGTTTAATTAGGGAGAAATGCAGTTTTGATATTCAATGTTTATTCTTTGCGCCAATTGATCCCTATTAGCATATTAAATCACGACACAAAATTAGAAATTTTCTATATTGTTATTTAGTAGTGGTTTAGTCAATTTAGGATTTTTGTAATTCTATTGGAGTTAAGTTATAGTTGTTTCATTATTTAGGAATTAGTATCTTATTAGAAACTTTCTTATGGTTGTAAGATTTGTTTACGAAGTCATGTAATTTATTAATAGGGAGTCTTATTGTTGTCATGAAATTTCTTATTGTTGTCTCTTGAAAAGAGTGAAAGATTGAGAGGTTTGTTCTTATGATGTGCTTAATAAATTATTGTTGGTATTATTTCTCTTCTCTCATACATATTTTTATATGTATAAATTGCCTCTCCATATATATATATGATTCTATAAAATTTATCTCCTATAATTTTTGTTACAAATTTTTTTGGGTTCTACATCGAGTATTCTCCAAAGAACACCGTTAGGTTTCTAGAGCTATCATTCCAAACACCTAAAGAGACGACATACGACATGGTTGTCGTTGAGAAGACCACTATAGTATACGACCCCAAACGCGTCCCATCCACACTTTACCACTACCTATAACACTGCAATTCATGAAAGAGAAGCTCGAATCCTCGCTTGTTGAGTTCCTCATCTGCGCTGTGATGGCTCCACTAATACCACTTGAAACTTCTTTTGCGTGATAAATTCAATAGCAAAAGAAGTTTCAATATAAATTCAACAGCAAAAGAGTTTCATAATAAAATACTAATTTCTAAATAATAAAACTACCATAACTTGACTCTAATAGAATTGCTAAAACCCTAACTTGACAAAAACACTACTAAACAACAATATAAAATATTTCTAATTTTGAGTCTTGATCTAATTTTGAGTCTTGATTTAATATGCCAACATTGCCTTTTTTAAATCAACCTCTCTCTTGAATCTGGTTCATCGCCATCACGAGCAATAATCTCCCTTGCAAATTATATCAATATCACTTTGTACTAGTTCTTCATCTTTAAACACTTTTCTCGTTACAATAATCTATGTACCTGAATAGACTGTTTTCGTCGCACAATTTGATGTCAATTCATTGATAACTCATCACTTTGTGGTTCTGATAATCACAACTTAACTAGACAGGATCTTTCTATGATCTCTATCACAACATGCAACAATCTTACAATATCCGGACCAATCTTATGGTTAAATTCTTCACCAACTACATACTTCAGGACTAACCTTGTGATCTAACTCGATCAATTGACTTCTTCACAACAACTTTTATGCTCTAATTCTAACAGCAAAAAACACCCAAGACTAATCTTGTAGTCGAGATACGTTTTAAATGTTCATAGGCATCCGAGGATCAATTTCTTAAACCTAAGGCTCTGGAACCAGATATATTGTTGAGTTATTAAGAGAAAAGTTGGTTAGTTGCTTTCCAAGGCCATCACCAATCTCTGTGTCTCACCGTCACAAGTAACTAAAACATGATTGTTTAGGAGTGTGCAAAATTGAAAATTTCTAATTTACCGATCGAATTCAAATTGAATTTAGAAATTTCAAAATTGATAATTCATAATTTCTAACAGAAATTGGGTTTTCCGATTTCGAATTATATAAATTTGGTTCGAATTCGGAAATGGGATTTTTCAAATCGAAAATTTCGATTTCGAATTCACAATTCAAAATTGAAAGCGAAATCAGAATTTGGAATTCCTATTTTGATTTCAAATTCGTTTTTCATATATATATATAACATTTATATATATATGTACGTAGTATAACATTTATATGATAATAATAATTTTTATATTCTTGAATTTGGTGATTCGGAATTCCAATTTTGTTTTCAAATTTGTTGTCATATATATATATATTATTTTTATATAATGTAATATAACATTTATACAATAATAATAATTTTTATATTCTTGAATTCAGTGAAATCAGAATTTACAGAATTTTGAATTGAATTTGGAACGAATTCGAATTCGATCGGAAATTCTGATACCAAAATTTCAAAAAATTCCGATTTCAAAGTTTCAAATTATTGATTTCGATTCCGATTCACACCCAGATTGGTAGAACAAGCATCCTATTCAATGTTTTGAAAATCGGATAAGACCGGCCTGTTCAATTTCGATTAGTTGAATTGCGAACCAGCCATGCCTCCTGTTCGATTCATTTAGAAAACCAAAGAATTATTGAACCGGTCAAAACCGGTCAAGAACCAATTGAACCAATAAAAATCGGGAGGTCCAACTAGTTTTTATTTTCTAAAATAAATATTTTAGTTTTATTCAAAATTCTTAATACTAAAATGAATAAAAAATTATTAAACTTTTAAACCGAGATCGAACCGGTTGAACCATGAACCGGAAGGTTTTCTGGTTCACTCTCCAGTCTAAGTTTAAAAACATTGACCTTATTATGGCTAGCCTCCTTTCTCGTTCTACTTGTTTTCATCATTGTTTCTCTCTATCCCTCCCATCACTCTCCAATTAACACTATCACTTCTTTCAATGATGATACTAGTAGGTTAAAATTTATTTTTGCATGAAGGATGATCAAGAAAAGCGGGGGTTTGAGGACTTCATCGACATTATTGAAGAACTTACATGTAGAATGTCCAAACATCATCACAGTCACAGGAGGATGAAGAAAAGTGAGAACTATTGTGATGATTTAGCATGGAAATCTAAGCTCATGACTGGTTATGGGGTTTCAGTTGTCCTCACAGTAAATTTAAAGGGATGTGCAGATTTCAGCAGTGTACAGAAGGCAATGGATGCTGTTCCTAATTTAAGCCCTACTAGAACACTTATCATAGTTGATTCAGGCACATACAGGGAAAAAGTGACAGTCTGTGCAACTAAGACAAACTTAATAATACAAGGTCAGGATTATTTGAACACGACGATTGCGTAGAAATGTAGAATGACACAGCTAATTCGACTGGAGGAACTCCATTCAGCTATACAATTGCCATTTTATCTACCAACTTTGTAACTTATAATATTAGCTTTCAAAACACGGCTCCTCCTCTATCCCCTAATGCAATTGGAGCACAGGCTGTAGCACTGAGTATTTTGGATGACAAAGCTGCATTTTGTGGGTGTGGATTTTATGAGGCACACGATGCCCTTAATGACGATAGTGGGAGGCATTATTTCAAAGAATGCTTCATCCAAGGATCCATCAAATTGATTTTTGGAAATGGAAGATCACTTTACAAGGATTGGGTGATAAATTCAATAGCAAAAGAAGTTTCAATATGAACATAAGATAGCAATATTTAGTATCTTATTAGAAATTAGAAATTCAATAGCAAAAGAAGTTTCAATATGAACATAAGATAGCAATATTTAGTATCTTATTAGAAATTAGTATCTTATTTAGGTAATTTTACAAAATTATCCATGAACACAAACATAAATTTTTATATGAACATAAGTATAAATAAGTTGAAACACTACTTACTACTGGAGTTGGCCTAGAAATTAGAGAAAGACTCTTAGGGTCTTTTCCATTGTTAGATTTACGATCCGAAACCTATGCCTAACAATTAGGGGTGGAAATGGTAGGGGGAAAGTTGGAATGGCGAAAAAAAAAGTTGAAACTTCATCATCGGGATATTAAATTTCATTAGGAAGAAAAGGCAAGAAAAACTATTTACAAGTTTTTCTACTAACCCCAAAGAGCACTCATATTGTTTATTAGCTATTGTGATCAATAATTGCTAATTACAACTATTAGAAGCCTAAATTCACAAGTCATGCAACAACTTTCGTAATTATTAAGCTTTAAATCATATTTTATAATCAGGGTTCTCCTCTTCTTCCACTAATTATTCGTCTTATATCTTGCCATTGTAGTATTATTCAATTTTAATTATTTAGCAAAGAAATGCTCTTTAGACTAAAGGATGGTGTTCCTCAATTGTGAAGTGCTTCTACAGAATTTTGTAGATATTGGAGAGTGTATTTGTCATATATTTAATTTCATTCACAATTTCTAAGTCATATATTTTAATTGTGAATATAAATTAAATGTATGACAAATACGTTCTAAATTCTAATAAAAATTCATAAAAGCATCTTAGAATTTATTTCATTTAAAAATCTTAAATATAAATTCCTAAAACAAAAAGCAATATATTGAACAAAACATCAAATATTAGGACAAAAAATGCAAAGTCATAACTTTTGATTAAATGCGTTTTGATTTTAATTAGTAGCAATCGAAATATTTTGTTAGTTGTCAGAATTCTACTTAAAATAAGAAACTTTGGAAAAATAAAAGGAAAAATCATTCAAAAAGCCTCTCATATTTTGTAAAATAACTTTTTCATCCCTTACTTTTAAAAGTGTAATTTTTACTTCTCTTACAAATTCATATTGGCTAATTTTGGTGCTTATCTAGGTTTTCGACTAGTTTTTGGTCGGAATCCACCATATGCTTTGCATGTAACCATTTTTGAAGAGTAATTTTATCAAATCACATTTCACATAATCTGATCTATACTCTCTCACACTTCATAAAAAGAATTTTTTTCATCTCTCACATTTTGAAAAATGAATTTTTTCGTCTCTCACGTTTCCTAAATGAAAATTTTCATCCCTCATCAATCATGTGTACAAATAGTTTTTTCTTATTTTTTGAAAATTCATGTATATATCTATTCGATTTCACATAAACAGTACAAATTACATATAATATTTCTATTTAATTTCACTTGAATAAGTTCAATATAGTTGTAGGTGAAATCAAATATAGATGCATCACATGCTATTCATAATGTTCAAATGAAATCAAATAAATATATACATGGGTTTAAAAGAAAGCTATTCATATACATTATCAATGAAAGACGAAAAAATTTATTTTATGAAATTTGAGGAACTATGGATCGGATAATGTGAAATTTGATTTGATAACTATAGTCCTTGACATTTCATAAATGATTTTTTTCGCCTCTCACATATCACAAAATGAAAATTTTCATCCCTCATTGATCATGTATATGAATAGTTTTTTCTTATTTTTTGAAAATACATGTATATATCTATTTGATTTCACCTGAATGGTACAAATAACATGTAATATATTTCTATTTAATTTCACATGAACAAGTTAATTATAGTTGTAAGTGAAATCAAATATAGATGCACTACATGCTATTCATACTATTCAGATTAAATCAAATAGATATATATAAATATGGGTTTAAAAAAAAGCTATTCGTATACATTATCAATGAAAGATGAAAAAATTTATTTTCTGAAATCTGAGGGACTATTGATCGGATTATATAAAATTTGATTTGATAACTTTGCCCATAAAAAATGACCATGCGCAAGGCACGTGGTAGATTTTAGTCAAAAATTAATCAGAAACTTAGGTAAGAATCAAATTTGACGAATGTGAATTTGTAAGGGAGGTAAAATTACACTTTTAAAATTGAGGGAAAAAAAGTTATTTTTACAAAATATGAGGAACGTTTTGAACGACTTTTTCAAAATAAAATTAGGAGACAAAACTGAATTTTCCCCAATTAATTAAGCACATACGTTTCCTTTATAGGTGTATATTTGGTTTATTTCACAACAACGTTTGTAATGGCAGTCTGAACTTCTACCCGATTGCACTACAATGTATGTGTGAGCATTTGAGATGCCGCTGCAATGTACATTTAACATATAAGCATAAAATGAAATAGTTTCATCACACCTCCATGACCATTCTCTAAGTAACTGAATATCTCTACCATTATCATTTCAAATCATCGGAAATAATAGTTAAATGTGGTTAGATCAGATATCATTGATAGAGGCTCCTACTAGTAAATCTTAATCACCATTACTTTTCTACTAACATGCACAGAGGAGAGGTGGACGTAGAATCCTCGCAATATATTGTTCGGGACTCCACAATTAAGCAAAGTGTGGGACAATTTGGATTGTGTTTTCTGAGAGTTTTGTGAGAAAGAAATACTGTAGTACTTTTTTGAGATGTGACGTTTGTAAGAAGAAAAGGTGGTCAAGAAACGCAATAAAGATTATTTTTAAAAAAATAAAAAAAATTTCTACAAAACTAGCAATTTAGACAAGGATTTAGATGCCACCAGTCCTCAATTACGTAATAAACATTGCAAGATGAGAAGAGAAAAAGGCTTCGAGAAATTTTCCATGTTACATGTTTTATGTTGTGAGTGCCCACAAATGGTCAAATACATAAAATTAATCAATTGTTTTACCACGAATTTTGGCTTAGGACACCCCATTTTGTGCTGTCTTGCTTTTACCAGCTCGTAATACGTTGGATTATTCGAGCTTGAATCTTGGGAAAGGGACCGTTTATATATTAAAAGCCTATGAACTTGCATTAATTAAGATTATACTAGTTTGAAACAATCGGAGGAAAAGCAGGTTCAGATACCGGGGACTTGGATGGTTTCAGAATGAATGAAAAATCATATCCTAATTAACCAATCGCTTTCCTTTCTTTCCCCCAAATATAATGACAAAGAAAGAAGATTAGGCACAAGATTTCCATACTTTTCTGTCCTAACAGTAAAAGTTAGCTTAGAATAGTAGTGGCAAGATTAGCTTTGCTTGTGGCCATGTAAATCCATGGTGATTGGTCCCTTGTAATAATATATTTTTGTTGTCGTGAGGAACTAAGTAGCCTACTTGGTGATAAATAACAAGTAATAGTGTCTCCCCGACCTGTAGCAAAAAAATTGTATCACTTTTTCAATGTGATATATATAATATAAAAATATAGTTAAAAAATATGTTTATAATACAATTAAATAAATTTATGTAAATTATAAGCTATCCAAACGGATCTTGTGTGCTTTTATAGTTTGTATGCGGTTTGTAAACACTGCAAACCAGGCGCAGTTTTATGTGGTAGCCATCGGTGCCTATGTACATAAAGAATGGATGAGAGTTGGTAGGGTCAAGCCTCTCATTCAAGCTTCAAGCCTTCAACTAAGCGTCCATCTCAAAGTTCTAATATGCTACTTGCTCCTCTGCAATGAAGTTGAAGAAGACTTAAGGAATTGTTGGACGAATTATTACAATCATTTCGGGATCACTCGACATTTTCAAGCCAACCAGTTCGCTGAAATGGGTTTTGGGGTTACAATGGTGCCATTTGCTTGTGAGAGGGACTAAAATGCATTATTTTGAATTTGGAGGATAAATAACTACAAATACAATATGTATGGAACTTCTTTTGTCGTTTTTCCCCTAAAATGAATTCAATCAAAGATCCAGCAGATATAATAATAAATTTCAAAAGGTGCGCAACTACACTAGACTCTATATTTACTAAAATTTAATCTAAAAGAAAATCAATCTCCAACAATGAATTTTACAATATAGAATTCAAATTGGTTTCTAGTTTTCAGTATTCGTGATAGAATGTTCATCGCTCAAGCATGAAGCTCAGCCAACGTCAAAAGGCATTGTATTTAGTTTGAGAAGACAATCATTTGATACGAGCAAAAGAAAGTATCATTAGCAGGGAAAAGGAAAATTTAGCACTACAATATATGCATAAAACTGGAGGATCCAAAATAAAAATTCTCAAACTCTTGTAGTTCTACGATTAAAATTTGATGGAATTGTCATAATCGGATTCATAAAAACAAAATATTTCATGTTTATGATATATATGGTCTGATTAGTGTTAATTCACTCTTGTTTGGCTTTCCGATTTTGAATAATCTCTTAATGTATTCAAAATCTCCCCGTTTTAATTTACAAACCTTAAAAGGATAAGGAATACAAAACCTTCTGGCTTCAAGTGTCAACCACCATCCGCATGCTAAGCGTTTATGATATCTTAAGGCCCCGAGCTCCTGACTTGCAAAATCAAGAAAATCGAAGTGACCTACGGACATTGTGATATTAAAGCTGCGAATATGGTTAATGAACTTCAGATTGTGTTTAGTAGCTCAAAATTCTGGTGAAATATTAAGTGGCAGAATGGGCTTAGCCAACTTTATTGCTTTTTAGTTTGCTAATTGAGGTTAATGGTTCCTAAGACCAAACTTATATGGTCAAAACATTAATCGGGTGACCATAAGACCTAATTCAATTCTCAATTCATCGATCATCTTCCCCCCTTTCTCCTTATGATACTTGGAGTCTCCAGTTAAACTAATAACAACATAAGAGGTTAGTGGGCTTTAGATATTGTGTACAAAAGGATCAAAGGCTTCTATTAGCTTAACGTAATTTTGGCCTTAGTTGTCAATCGGCATGGGCTAAGTTTTCCTTCTCCCCTAATTGATTGCATTTGCATCCTGAGTTTTCATTATGTGGATGTAATACAGATATAAATTGACTGTGAAGTATTGCTGAAAGATGCATGGAAGAAATTGTTCAATTGGATCTCTCTGGATACAATTTGAGCCAATAATATCCAGGTGTTTTGAATCTTTGTAAAACAATCAAGAGTACTGAGGGCTGGTGACAAAATGTTTCCCATCAAACCATACTAAGAGCCGCTCTTCAAACTTGGAACTTCCAGGAGACAAGATTCACAGCCTCAGTTTCCACTCTAACTAGAAAATTCAGCTTCTGGCCTATACTCCAGAAGGTTTGCCTGTCCTGCCCTCCGAAGGTAGGGGGCATCAAAATGGCTCTCTAACCTGAATTAGCATCCTTTAACAAGAAAGAACGAAAAGAAATATACGCACTAATGTTGCACTTCTGCGGTAAATCCAGTCACAAAAATTTTAGGTTCCTACCGGTTATGCCTTTTTTACCTAACCAAAAGAACACATCATTACTATTCATTAGTAGTATGTTGCAATTCTCACAAACAAAATACCCTAACTCAACAATTGAGAATCTGGTATATTAAGATTCATAATGGTCTTTTCTGCTTAAATGATGAATAGTTTCCGATCTTGAATTTTGACTTAATGTCTTGAATTTGTACGTGTGCAGGTTAAACAAACTGCTTGCCAAGGGTATAAGATTGAATATATTGACGAGGTTTAATCCTATGTTACAAATTTTACAAATCTAACTACCCTGTTTTTTGCAAGTATAGAGATCATTTATAGTATGGGATATTAAGTGTTAACCCCATAAGGAAGATTGTTAATTATTGACGGTTTTCGAACTCATCTATTATTTAGATGCCCTCAATAAAAACAAGTAGATCTATACTTCAAACTTATAATAAAAGTAGCAAAACTAACAATTAAAAGCAACTAAGGTCTATCACCCTATTACTTTTGTTTTCCTTATAGGGGGCGAAATTTTGGGAGCGTGATTTTTGGGGCAGGAGTTGAGCTAGTTATAGTTTTGTTTTCTTTAAGTTCCTCTATATTAGTAAACCCCATATGTATTTTTATAAGTTTGGGTACTCTGACTTGTACTTTAAGTTGAATCGTTAGAGACTTCATTGTATATCGTTATGGGATGGTGAATGGAAGTTAAATTGCGTGTTTTAGTATTTTATGTGAATTTTGGTTTAGTGATTCTGGCGAGAGTTGGGCAGGCAGTCCGCTAACCTTTGGGGTACACCCTAAGGGAAAGTGAAGTTGTCATAGAATTGCATGTTCTTTTGCAAGTTTTCATGACTCAATCCTCAATTGGAGTAAAATGAGAAAATAGATGAACGATTCTTGATGATTTGATTTAAAGAGACATGAAGTGCAAAAATGATGAAAAGATGAAATGCAATTAAGCGTGAACTTTGATATTTTGGTATTTTGACTACAACTTCGACACAAGTATTGGATTGAAATAATTTTTAAAGAATTTTAAAGCTAAGACCAAGATCTACATTTTGGGCAAAATGCCTCAGTGGCCCTTAAATTATTATAAAGTTTAACTTTTGGTCCTTCAATTATTAAATGGACACTTTTAACCTTCTAACTAATTAAAACATATAATCATAACTCTTCCATCAATTTGAGTCACTATAGTCAACAAAATAGTGGAGGCGATTCTTGATAGTTTTGGCCTATTTTTATTAGACACAACTACTCAAATTGATGGAAGGATTATGAATATACAATTCAATTAGTTGGAAGGTAAAAACTGCCCATTAATAGTTAAAGGGCCAAAAATTAAAATTTGTAATAATTTAAGGGCCACTGAAATATTTTAGCCTTGCACTTTTTATGAAGACACACTACAACAAAAATGGTCTTTCCTGACATATCTATAAGGACACTTGCTGGTTTGTGCCATTATAAAACTTCTATCATGACACTAATTATCAACTCAATAATATATACTCTAATTTTTTTTATTTTATTTGATATAAAAATAATAATGTACCTTTAGACTCCCTATTATGACACTTACGAAAATGTGAGATACACAAAAAAAAAAAATTAAAACACAAAACGACGTCGTTGGATTTTGGCGGAAGATTCCTTTGCCAAAACACTTAGTGAAATCTCAAAACTTCATTTTGCCTCCCAGTGAAATTTTGCTTCTTCTTTATCTCTCGCACAAAGTCTCTCTCTCAGCAAACTGTCTCTCAAAACTCTTGGCCAAAATTTTGCTTTCCCACAAAGTTTTTCCTATTGAATCTCTCCACAATCAAACTACCCTTGCTTTCCCATTGAAGGGATGTAATTCCATGATAAATTTTTGCCCTAAATTGATTTCTCTCGGTTGCCTAAATTTTTGCCCTCTGCCTCTCTCGGACACTTTCCTCTCCTCTGCTCCCTACCTCTGCCGTCCCGTCGCCCCTACTCTTTCCCTCTCATCATCAGGTTTAGGTTCGTCAAAACCAGAAAATGGAATAACATGACATTGAAAAGGACGAGTTCGAATTCTCCAAAAACAACGAAGCCCTAATTTTTGGTCCCGCTTCTCAAATCTCGCGGTTTCGCTATGTCGTCAACATCGGCTGCTGCAGCTTCTTCTTCATCCTCAACGGCGTCGTCTCAATTCACCTACACTACCGGCACGTACTTTCCGACTCCGTTTCACCTACAACAGCCGCAAACCTATGTGGCTGCTGCCCCTGCCGCTTCAATTCTGCAATTTCCTGCTCTTCCTCCTGCGGTTCCCCACGTTTATCCTGCTCCCGCTACAGTCCCTACCGTGTACTCCCTCCCTCAGTATCAATAGGTACGAACCTTTCTATATCCAATCATTAAGCCACGTTGTTTTTTTATATGAATTTTGGATGGAATACTTTTGGAGAGATTTAGGGCAGTGATTTCGGCTCTTTTTCCTCTTCCCCTGACATTTGAATTCCCTTGTCAACAGCTATGATGAGAAACAATTGATCTTTTTAATTATTGGTAGGAGTCGAGATATGTATACCATTGTTGTCTATGTGAGTGGAGGAACCGGGAAGTCCAATTTTTCGGTAAAATACCCGGTCTGTTCATTTATATATATGGCTTAATTCATTTAGGAAGTTGAATTTAGGCATTAGAAGAACTTTAGGTTAATGTTTTTCTTCTAAAATTATTGACCTTCTTTATTGTTGAGGTGTGATTATTTACTTAAGTTGATATGATAGTGGTGGAGATTTTAGTTTTTAGAAAAGAGGGAGGGGGGGCAATGTAGAAGGTGAAGGGGATTTCACAAATATTAAGGTGCAAAGGTGGGCCAAATAAAATATTGGGGAAACTTGTCGCGTGGTACCCGATATTATTGTGGAAGTTTGGTGACCCAGGGGTTTTGTATGTGTGGGCAAGAGTTCTTTTTTTGCTTTACTTCAGAACTTGATACGTAGATTTGTTTATTATGGCACTGCTTTCTGCTGTCAATTTCCGGCTTGGTTTTTCAAATAAGTTGGCATTAGTGTCGATTCCTGAAGATTTTAAAGTACAAACTCTTTTTCATCTGCATCAAGATAATAGTACACCACCACCACCACCACCAGAAAACGGCATGCATACACACCCCAAGAGAGAGACGAAGGGAAGCCAGGAAGAAAACATAATCTTGACCCAGGTGATGTGTTGCCATTGGACGATTTTGATTGGCAATAATGTTGCAAGAAAACAAAGACGACGGTTGAAAACGAATGCAACTAACATCAAGGACATTTCAACTAGAAACCTGAGAAAGGCATTTTTCCTACGTACATGGATAGTCTAACAAATGATAGAGAGTCAAAAAGTTCACCAGTAAGTAATCAATTAGGCAGATATAGAAAATGAATTTTAGGTGGCCAAACTGAAATGCAGACCTGGTATGGTGGAAGGTTCTTCTGGATTCATACGTAACTAAGTAGCATTTCATATGTTGCACGCTTTTTTTTACCCCAGTGATGATCATATGCGTTGCTCAAAGATACTGGAAAGTTAAGTTTGGTGACAAGTCAAAGGAGTACGTACTTGCCAGATCTCGACTTCCATGTTTGACATAACTACTTGATTTGCCTCGAGGAAGCGGTCATCTTACGCTAAGGCAGAGTGTAATGTCAAGGGGAAAATCTTTGAACAAGGTCTCGTAAGGCAGCAGGGCAGGCATGGGAGGATCCTACACTTGCAGATTGGCCAGAGAGTGAGTTTCATGTACTCTACTCCTTGTGTGGTTGCATTCATCATTTTTTATGACAATTTTAGCCTGTCTTAATTCCTTCACTGATCTTGTTTTTGCTAGTATTAATGCCTTCAGTATTACTGTTTGTGTTGTGCAGATGATTCTCGTTTGTTCTGTGGTGATCTTGGTAATGAGGTGAATGATGATGTTCTATCCAAAGCATTTTCAAGATTTCCATCTTTTAACATGGCCAGGGTGAGTTATTTGAACTCATCCATTTTTTATATGTCTCAACCTTCTCTTGTTCGAATTATCGAAACTTTAATTTGTCTCCTTGTCGTGGTTGCCTTTGGTGAGGTTCTGACCTGATTTTGCATGATCCCTTAATCTGATTTCGAAGAAGTGCTTTGATCTGATGTACGAGTTTAAAATTTTGAACTTGGACAACATCTATGGTTATGTTTGTGTGAAATAAGATTAAATTTTGCTAGCATATGATTCTTTAGCTTAAGGGATGCTTGGTATCAAACACTGTTCTGGCTGATCATACTGGTGCTTCTACCATCATTTTTATAAAAGAGAGAAATTTAAGAATCTCTCATGCCTCTGAGCTCTTGAATCTGTGCACTTTTGTGTCTGCATCCACACTCGTCCCTTTTGTCGTGACAAATGCCCCTTGTAGTTAGTCAAACATAATATATATTATCTGATGTTTAAAGGAGAATGATTAATCTGCTTAGTCATACTGTCTTTTGTTCAGTGCATTACTTGACAGTGTTGGTACTGTGATCACTACTGTATGTAATGTTGCCTGGACGACGAGCTTTAGTTTCAGCTTGTTGACAATGTTGGCTGTTCAGGCACCAGTTAGTGATTGGGAGTACAATGCTACGCTCCCCAAAACTGCTTCAATGATTGATTTGGCTTCAAAAATAATGATGACTTGTTTAGCACTGACTTAAGTGAGGACCAGCTGAGGCAGAGACTTGGACACATGTCCCACACACCTTGTCAAGTAGGAAATTGCAGTACATAGTTATGTCCAATATCTATAATTTTTTCCATCGCATTTGATAGACCAAAGGCTATATTTCTAGCATGACATGATTTCTAGTAGGTTGAATTGCTTGAACGCAAACTATTTCCTGGGGTGTTATTATATTATTATTGTTGCAATTTTTTTCCTATCATTTTCCAATCTCAAATGCTCAAGAATTGGAAAAAAAATTTCTGTTTCCCCAGATCACTGTATACACTTTTCTTCATCCCTTCAATTTCTCGGCTGTTTTCTCTTCTTCTGAAGGATTGGCACTAACCTCTACTAAAGCATAGCCGGACTGCTCCACCTAGAGATGGCTGAAGGAAGTGGAAATGAGGAGACAACTCTTGAGCATACATCAACATGGGCAGTGGTAGTTGTTTGTTTCATCTTGATGAGCCCAAACAATGTACTATATATATACTATACCTCTCGCGGATCGTTGCTAATATTGTACAATTACGTTACCTGACTTTTAGCATTTCTTTCAACTTGTTAGGGATGAGAGTCTTTTTGTTTGTGCACAAGAAATTCTTTCAAGTTATTGTAAATGAGAATCTTTCGGTACTTTATTGGGATTTTAGTACTTGCTTTGAGCACTTGTTTGCGATTTTAGTACTTGCTATGTTTGTACTTGTTATCGACTTTTAATTCAATGAATTATATTTGAGTATCGACTTCTTCTTTTAAATTGCTATATGCATTCTGCTCTTTGAGATAATTTTACAAGTCCCTTGGGATTCTGGTTGATGGAATGTACAGCAAGGAGGACTAATTGCAGGTTGCTTCCATATAAAAAAACAGGGAAAAAACTCTTGGTAATTAAAAGTGTCAGCATAGCTTAACTTCGAAAAACACTAATGACAAATGGGCATGTCGTCCAAAGTTGTGTAAATTCACATAGCTACGTGTCCTTAAAGTCATATATTAAGACAACTAAAGATGCCTTCATAAATTGGATATACTACTGATCTGCTACTGATGTTCTAATGCTATACGGACACTTTCGATTATCACAAAAAAAAGTTTTTGTTGGCAGAGGGAATGCTATAGCAGCATGGTTTTCCTGACACGTTTGAATGTTGCTAAAGATTTGAGGCTATCCCCACATTGGAAGGGACAACACTCGCCCTAGGTGTGAGGATAGATAAAATGTCAGGTTAAATTGTCTATACTGACACTTTTAAATGCCGCTAAAGGCCATTTTTGTTGTAGTGACATCAAAATCCAGTTCACACATTTTGATAGTCAAAATGCCAAAATATAAAAGTACATTTTTATTGCTACAATTTGGACAAGTTTTCCAACCAATGTGAAGCATTTTGGACATAACTCAGAATCTAGATACCAAAATGACTTAATTGTTATGCCATTGGAAAGCTAACTCAAGAGCCTACAACTTTTGTTTTCTGTGGAAAAACTAACTCGTCCTCCTTGAGCATGATCTGATGCCAAACAAAAATCCTCCATTGTCAGTTGTGCCTGAAGCTAAGGAAAGTAAAAATAATGGATCCGTGAACCTTCGAGACAGATCCACGGCCGGATCTAGTCACGATCCTATGTCCGTTTGAAGAATAGCTAGTGTTTTGCACAATTTTATCTCTGTTTTTCAGATTGTGTTTTCTTTTGTTTCACTAATTTCATACCTAGGGTTAACTATGAACTTGTTTATTTGATATATTGAATTAATTATGATTGATTTGTTATATTTTATTGTTTGATATTTCATGAATCAGCTTTCATAATTGTGTTTGATTGATCGCCAAATATAAGTTATCTTGGCTATTGTTAATGATGCATGTAGCTAATAATATGCAGATCTAGGCTCTTAAAACCTAGATATCTGATTTACGAACATAAGAAAAGTATTTAGGTGGATGTTTTAATAATTTCACAGATCTTCATGAACTTGTTCTAATCCTTCAACCATGAAAATAGGCGGGATTAGATACTAGTAAGTTGTGCATTAGTGAAAGTGATGTTCGACATAATTGAAAATTAATCCCTAACAAGTAGTGCACAATAACAGATTCAACCCAGTTAGTTCATGTCCAAATAACAAGGGGTGAGCTTTCGTCCAATGAGGAACCAAAAGGGTAACGCAGTCACAAATAACACAATTAAAATTTTAATCGATCAAATATAAACATCAAATAAAGGTATAAGTAAACACCACAACTCAGACAGAGAGGTTCAAGTAAAAGGATACAGATGGCTCTCAAGAGCCAAATTCTCCGTTGCATTAACTTGATTCAAACCCATTGACACTCTGTCAATGTTTAAAGAAGCAAAACAATGACCGTAGATCCCCACTTTATACCAGTTTTCGTCTACCAAACATATCCCTTACCGAGCCCAAACACCAAACAGAAACAGTGGCGGTAATGCTCGAGAATACCAGATATTAGAAGCATTTAGTATTCAGTGAATTAGTAACAGTTTTCTCATGGTTCGTCATTCTACCTCGACCAAACCCTTGCTGGCTCGATTTCATTGATTACCAATGAGGTTTCAGCTCAATTTTCACAGTAAGTCATTGGATATTAGACTCCAAACGACATCAATTCATGCACAAGTAATAGATCTAAATTGCACAGTAAACCAATCAAACAGTCAAGGGAAATGAACGTGATAAAGTACACACTTGTCCCATCCAGGATAAACTAAAGCCACAACCATTCAAATCATAAATTTCAAGCACAAGTAAATCGGTTAAGCAACAAATCATGCGAGTGATACACTTACCAGTTCGAGCAAAATAACGTCAAAAGTTCGCCCTCGAGTTATGCCCTTGATCACCAACAAACCCTAAGAACAACCAAGATAAAGTATTATAGTTCAACCATCCAAAGCTTAGCTGAACCAGAGAAAATCCAATTAACTACTAGTGCAAAGATGCAAATATGGTTTTGGGAGTGAAAAGAGAGCATTTGGACCCAAGGGACATGAGTAACCAAGGAGTTCCTCATTCCAATTTATGGCTGGAATTTCCAGCAACAAAATAGCTAAAAGAGACAACCAACCTCGAGTTTAAAATGAAACAAATGCAACTAGAAAGTATGCTAGAAGAAACCATAACTTTTCTTTTTATTACACATAATTTTGTCAAAATTTCAGCTTATACACTACCGTCAAAGTGTATTCAAGAGATCACATGTAACCTAAGTCCAAATCAATCCAAACTCACCCCTCTAACATCACTTGCTTCACAAGAATGGAAGTAATAAAAATTCCAGCAGCACTTTCCCTTATTTTCTTTACTTTTCCATCCAAACTCAACACCTATTTCATCTCAATCCAACTTCAATCACAACCACAAGTCATAGGCTATAAAATGCACTTGTTTAAGGCCACAAAACCATCACAAGTAGCCGATTTATAGCTCAAAAATCAACCACAACAAAGCTGAAATTTGAAACCCTATGCTGAAATTTTCAAGTACAAGCTGAAATTTTCCATAAACAAGACAAAATAACATATAAAAGTTAGAAAATTCACATGGCAAAGCTACTAGATCATAGCTAAACTCAAACCATCATGTCAAGGTTGAAATTTCACCATCAAAGCTGAGATTTTTGAATCACCACTTAATCTATGAAATTTTCCATGTAAACTACCAAAATCAAACTCTAAAACCACTACCATGCAAGTAATAAAAGTAAAAATGGTTTCTTGCCATGATACCCTGAAACCCTAAGAAGAAATGGAAACCAAGTGCTTCTTTTTACGAAACCTCTCTACTAAAGCCTTTAATCCTTCCTAAAAGTCACCTTTTATGGAGTAGTTTGCAAGATTATGGTGAAAATTCAAGGATTCAAACAAGATTTGGTGGTTGAAGATGAAAGTTTTACTCTCTTTTCTTCACTCAAAAGTCGGCCAAAAGGAAAGGGAAAGGTGACAGGATTTTTGGCCAATTTTTTGTTAATTAAAGGGTTAAGAAAGGTCTTAGTCAAAGTCAAAGAACCATGGCTTGTGTAACACTTGGCGTTCCAAGGTTAATCCTTATCTCTTTTGTGACAGCCCCACCTTCCCCTAAGGCGAACCAAAGGGTTCGGCGGACCGCCTGCCCAACTCTCACCGGGACTCAGTCGTTCACTAAAGTCCTCAATTAAATTACAAGATATATCTCAAATTTACATCAAATTCTCCAATAATTACATATCAAAAGCGAAGCGGAAACTAATCAATTGCACTATCAACTAAAACCTTAAGAGATCAAAGCAATACAACTTTCTCGAATAAGACTAAGGTCCTCAGTTCTCACATAAGTATAAGTACAATCGCGGTCTCAAATATTACACTAGATAAAACTAAAACTTCAACGGTACAAGAGATCATCCAATCATATCCCCAGAGAACTTTAATACAAATGCTTTCTTCACCTCGAGCCTTATGGAGGGGAATAAAATAGTTTTGGAGTGAGCTAGAAGCTCAGTGAGTGAACAGTAAAACCAGTAATCAAATCAGTTTCACAATAGTTCATTTCAATGATGTCATGAATCAATAATCTAACGTTCGTTTATTGCTCCCGTGAGCCAGTGAAATCATTGCACTTAAACATCCAACGCTCAAAATGATCATTTAACACTCACTCAGTGATAGGGAGCCCGTTGGTGCTCCAGATAAACATTAAATAATAGTGGAGACGTTGGTGTTCAACGCAAGACTCCCCAAGAACTCATTAAAGCCAATTCATGTCATGAACTCACATGCAAACACATATAATATACAATTGAGTAAATAATGCAAGAAAACGTTCAAAAGTAACTTTGGAATAGTTTTAAGAACCACTCACCAACCACGACTCGGAAACCATCCATCATATATTATTGTCTTGCCCAAGTCCAAGCCCTAGAGCACAAACTCAAAGCAATCAAACACTCTCAAAGATCGGATAGCATTTCTCCTTCAATTCTTCATTTCCATCCTACAATAACAACATCAAATTATATCTTACCAACCACAATTGCACATACAGTTCGTAAACAATAAAACACATCCAATTAGGGCCACAATACCCTTCAATCAAAGCCAATAAGCCCACCATTAGAAAACCCCCAAATTAAACCCTAGAAACCGGAATTTCCGTACAAACCAGAAAATTTTCGCAAACGATCGCAATTAACGCACAAAAGCTCCATTTAACACCATAACAAGCTATCATTCATGGCCAACCAACAATTATCATCTAAAATCAGAAAATTCACCAATAATTCCAAAATTGGCTAAGCTTAACCCTAGTCCATAAAATCCTCCACAAAATAACATATATAACATTGATAATCCACCAATTTGCAATCAATTGAAGCAAATAAGGATTTCTTAGCAAGATACCTTAAAACCTCAAGAGAATAGGTAACTTAATGATTCCTCCTCTACAACAACTCCACCCATAGCTTGCAAACACCTTAGACAAGAAGTTAATCGAAGCACTTTGCAAAATTAACGGTTAAATCTTAAGATTGAAGTGAAAATTGAAACTAGAAAATGAAGTTTTCTTTCTTTTCTCTCAAACACACGCCTGGCCAAGGGAAAAAAATGAAGATATTTTCCAGCCAAAACAAGATAAGAAGGAAGAAAATCAGC